TGACGCTGATGTGGCCAATTGATCTGCTTCAGCACTCTCAACACGAGGTACCTGATAGAATTCGACCTAATCGAATCCCCGTGCAACGTTCTCTACAGCTTCTTTATATGCTTTCATTCTTTCCTCTTTGGGATGGTACTGACCTGTCACTTGATTTATAACAAGCTGTGAGTCACTAAAAACCTTTAAGCAACGTACCTAGAGGCTACTGGCCAATCGAAGACCAGCAAGTAACGCCTCGTACTCGGCCTCATTGTTCGTAACCGGGAACTTCAAACAGATAGATTACTGCAGCTTGGTGCCTTCGGGTGTTGACATTACAACTCCTACCCCTGCACTTGTTTGATTCGAGGAGCCATCAACTCGAAGTTCCCACTGTGGTTCAGGGTGTACCGGCTCTTTGGGAGTGTCTTCATATTAGAGAAAAAAGTCTGCGACGGCCTGTCTTTTGTGTGACACCTTTGGCTCATAAGTTATGTCGAAGGAACTAAGCTCGATAGCCCACTTGGTAATTCTCCTAGATAGATCGGGCTTAGAGAGTATACCCCGTATAGGATAGTTGGTGAGTACCACAATACTATGAGATTCAAAATAATGCCGAAGCTTCCTTTTGGCATAGATCAAGGCTAAGATGACTTTTTCTGCTTTACTATATCGTGCCTCAGCATCTGTCACGGTCTTACTTGTGTAGAAGACTGGATATTGCCTCTTTCCTTACTTTCTAATCAATGCTGCACTTGTCGCTATATTAGAAATTGCCAAATACATAATAAGAACCTCCCCGGGTTTTGGAGCAGATAGAATTGGTGGTTCGGCCATGTAACCTTTCAACTGACTGAGGGCTTCCTACTGCTGAGGTCCCCATATATCTTTATTCTTAGATCGTATAGCATCGAAGAATGGTTTGCACTTATTTGACAATCGGGATATAAACCGGCTGAGGGCTGCGATCCGACCGGTAAGAACCTGCACCTCCCTGCAATCTTTTGGTTCCTGATTCTGGATGAGGGCCTTAGCCTGAGCCGGACTTACCTCTATCCCTCTTTTATTCACTATGTGGCCAAGGAATTGACCTGATGATACCGCGAAGGAGCACTTGGATGGATTCAGCTTCATTTTGTACTTTTTCAAGGTATTGAAAACTTCCTGTAGATGCTTCGGATGATCTTCTTTCTTTACACTTTTAACCACCATGTCATCTATATATGCTTCAATTATCTTTCCCAGTAGATTATCGAATATCTTGTTGACAAGGCGTTGATAAGTAGCTCCAGCATTCTTCAGTTCGAAGGGCATGACCCTATAACAATAAGTCCCATTTTCTGTAATAAAAGCCGTTTTTTCTTCATCTTCGGGATTCATAGGAATTTGATTGTATCCCGAGTATGCATCTAGGAATGTCAACCTCTCGTAGCGGGTGGTAGCATCAACCATCTGATTTATCTTGGGCAGAGGGAAGCTATCTTTAGGGCAGGCTTTGTTAAGGTTGGTATAGTCTACACAAACCCTTCATTTTCCATTCTTCTTTTATACGACTACCACGTTTGACAACCACTATGGATATTGCACTTCTCGAATGAAACCTGCTTGCAACAATTTGCTCACTTCTTCAGCTATAATGTGATTGCGTTCGGGGGCAAACCTTCGGTGTTTCTGCTTAACCGGTTTGAACTTCGGATCCACCTTCAGACTATGGCAAGAAACTAAGGGATCGATCCCTACCATGTCCGAGTGATCCCATGCAAAGGCATCTGCATTGCTCCGGATGACATTAATTAACGCCTCCTTTTCTTTGGACGTGGAGGAAGAGCTTAGATAGGTAACCTTCTGAGGGTCGCCGAGGAAAACTTCCACGGCTTCAAGGGTCTCCTCAGTGGGCTTCGCAATTTCCTCTTCCTCTTCTACCTTAAGATACTTGGGCAGAGGGCTCTGTAATTGCTATTTGGGTCCAGTTTTGGAAGCCACACCTGGTTGCTGTTGAGTCGACACCCTCTTTGCTTCAACTTGTGTCAACATATAGCATTCCTTCGCTGCGAATTGATTGCCCCACAGATTAATTACTTCTTTCCCGTCCGGATAAGCACCGCATCACCTGGTGAAGGGTGGATGGAACTCCTCTCATCCGATGTATCCAACCTCATCCCATGATGAGATTGGAAGAAGGATGGATCTCTGTTAAAACAAAGTTCTCCTTTAGAGTCCTCTTTGCCGCGGTTACTGACAAGTCTATTGCTCCAAGGGGATCTACTCTTGTGCCATCGAACCCCATTAACGGGCTAGAGGTAGGTCGAATAGATGATGACGGGATCTCTAGCTGCTCAAAGACCGTCTTTGTGATTATGTTGGCGCTACTTCCTAGATTTATCAAAACCCTCCAGATCATATAATTGGCCACTAAAAAACTGATGACCAATGGGTCCTCGTGGGGGAGTTGAACTCTGGATAGGTTACCATCTCCGAATCCAATACTGATGTTACTCGAAGCGATAACACTGACCGAGGATATCCTCCTGAGCTTGTGGGCTGCCCTCAGTCTGGATTTGTATACCTCCTCGGACTCTTGATCATCTTCAGACCTGCCATGTATTGCATGGATGACTTTTACTTGCGTACCTTCCACCTTGCGGGGATAGACCTCGCAGGGCTTTGCATACTCCTTTGTCATGAGGTAATCCGTCAACTCACCTTTGGCGATCATATTCTCCACCTGTCGCCTGAGGGATCTGCAATCATTGGTTGAATGCCCATAATCTCGATGATAAGCGCAATGCTTACTTTTGTCCCTTTGCTCCAGGGGTTACTTTATTGGCTGCGGAGTTGTGAACTTCATCTTATTCTCTTGGAAGAGCCGAGCCAAGGTAGTTCGGAGAGGTGTAAATCCTTCCTCTACCCTTTGCCTTTTTCAGGTGCCTGGGTGATCTGCGTTGAGGAACGTTGGCTTTTTTGAATCTTTGGAGTTGGAACTCTTTCTTGAGGCTTGTTTTCCACTGTCACGAGGGTGGCGTGCTGCGCTCGGTGGGCTATATTTTCCTCAAGCCGAATGTAGATTTGGGCCTTAGCATTAAAAGTCTACATGTCGGGAGGAGAATATTTGACTAAGGAAGTGTGGAACTTCGTCCCCTGAATCATCGCGAGTTTAAATGTCTCTATAGCAGTTGCGGGATGACAATCCGCTATTTCTGAGGCTTCCATGTTGAATCTTGACAAGAAATCCTGCAATATTTCCCCCCTTTTTTGCCTTACGGTGAAGAGGCTGGCAATGCTCTTCTTTTGCTTCTTATTTCCGTAATACTGTGTCAGGAACATGGTGCATAGAGTTACGTAATCCGGGATGGACTTATGCGGTCTATTCCTGAACCACTCTTGTGCTGCTCCTGTCAAACTGGTAGGAAAAACTCTGCACATCCAAGGGTCATTACGATCATCCAAAGCCATCTTTTGAGCGTAATGATCTAGGTGCCGAGAAGGATCCCCTGTTCCATCAAACTGAGTGAAAGAAGGCATGGTAAATTTCTTGGGCCTCTCAACCAGATACACATCGTCAATGAAAGGAGTTTTGACCAAGGATTTTTTGTGTTCTTTAGCCATCTCGGCAGGTGTCTGAATCTTTAGGAGTCTCTTCTTGTCAAAGGCATCCTGAACACCTGCACCATCTGGGATTCCATTGGACTACACCGTAAGCTTATGGCTGGATTCGGCTTGCTCATCCTGTGTGCAACGAGGGACGTTATCTGAAGCCCCAGCCTCGGATCTTGCCCTTCGTTGTTGCTGAACCTCATTCGGCTAAGCCTTATTGGGTCGTGCCCCATTAGGTGGAGCCCCATCAGGCGGTAGTCCAATGATTGGAGGAATATTCTGACTAGGGGGTGCTGCTGTGTCACCCACTGGTGGCGGTGGTGCCAACTGAGCCAGCGCCGTTTGCAGAGTGTTATTCTGCTGTTGAAGCAAGGCGATTTGAGCCACACTTGCTTCGTTTGCCTGACGAAGTACGTCAAACTGGTGTAGAAACTCTTCACGCATCTTCTGCATCAACTCCGTCTGTTGATCTGTTGAAGATCCTCCGTTCGACATTCTAGATGGTAGCTGCAGGATTCACTTGTGAAACAAAAAACAAGAGTGGGAATATATTTGCACACGTTTCCCACAAACGGCGCCAAAGTGTAGGTGCAAAATTCCGCTCAACCGATAATGATTAGGAGAAATAACACAACTCACTCAATAAACAATAAAAATAAACAAGAACAGTATCTCAAGAAGCGTAGAATTGCTCGATCCTTTTATTGGAGGTCTGGGCTTCTATTTATACACAAAAGATTGGTTGAATTATGGTAGGACTCGCATTGCTTGTCCTCCAATTCTTTCCCTACAGAAATTCTTTACAAATAGAGTTCCTTCCTTTGTATAATTTTCCTTGTGTAGTAGTTTATTTCTTTGCTGTATCCTTCTTCTAATAGGACTAATTTCCTTACAATGAATTTGGGCTATAAGTAACCTGATCCATGTGACATTGCTAACGGGCTGGATCTCTTGTTTCGGGCTTGAGTAATGCTACAGAGATCAATTATCTGCGACCTTGGGTTAGTGTCTTATGACTTTGGGCTGTCAACGAGCTTGGACTGGGCTTTGAGCAGGATGGGCCTCTGACATTTGTGATGGGTATTTACATTGCGATGACGTGTATAGTTCTCATTGGAGGGAGATTTTTCCCTCCACACCAACCCTGCCCCATTTAAGTTTAATCTTAGGAAACTACCCTCATGTAGTGTAGGTATAAAATAGTAGAAACCATTACGGAATATTTGTAATTTAAAATTTATGTTAAACTACTGTTGATATCACTTATTGTGTAGGCTGTATACTTGTATCAGGGCAGGCCTTGGGCCTCAGATTTTAGAGGGCCTCAAATTTTGAGGCCCACAGGGGATGGAAAAAAATAAAAATAAATATAAGTTAGTGCAAGTTTCAGCGACACAATCTGCTTCGACACTGACAAGGTATGTTCATCCTCTTTCTCTCCTCTCTCCTTTTGCATGAATCGATCTTTTATATATGTTTCTTTCTTTCGCTCATCTCATCATTTGATTTGTTCTAACTTTGGTTCGTTTGATTCGGGCCTTTACCTTTGTTCCAATTGTGAGAAGTAGCTAGGGTTTTGTGTGTGTCACTGTGTGTGATGGCTATCAAAAGCTGAATGAATATATTATGGTTCTCGTAGTATTTTAATAAATGTGTGCCTTTCTACATGTGTCTTTCTTGGCGATCGAGTCCATAATCTATGGCAGGTACTTCTTTTTTTTTTTTTTCCTCAAATCAATCTCTCTGTGTTTTATTTCAAGTGAAGAATTGGAAGAAGAAAATGTCAGATTTCCTAGCTCATGATATGTTCATCGACGTCCTCACCAGACTACCCGTCAAAACCCTCGTACGATGCGCTTGTGTCTGCAAATCATGGTACTCTTTTCTCACAAATCCTAATTTCATCACCACACACCTCAATCGATCATCCATTGCGAACACCGACAACAACAACAACTTTCTACTCGTTCGAAGCCGCTCCGGTGATGAAGCTGATGTAGTGCATTACTCACTGCTACGTTCTGAAAATGGAATGTTGTGTGATGATGCAGAGCTTGAGCTTCCACTGAAGGACCCCAGCGACCGTTTTTTGAGGATAATCGGCAGCTGCAATGGCCTCGTATGCCTTGTTGAAGATTTCCACGGTTACGGGAGGAGCTTTTATCTATGGAATCCATCGATTCGGAAGACGATAACCCTTCCTCCATTGCGTGTGAGCTTTCAATCACACAGCCCTTTTATGCATAGCGTTGGGTTCGGCTTTGATGCCCGGACTGATGACTACAAGGTTGTCAGGATTGTGCATCTCTGGCCACCCGATGATTTCGAGCTTCCTCCGGAGATTGACATTTTCAGTCTGAGCACAGGCACATGGCGGAACATCAGCCATTTGGGCCTTCAATATGTCATCTACGAGCGGGCTCCACAGGCTTATCTGAACGGGTCTGCACATTGGCTTGCTTACAATCGGAGAATGGAAGGTTTCTTCAGCTTGATCGTTTCATTCCACATGGGTGATGAGATATTTGGCGAGAACATGGTGCCTGCAGGTTGCACTTTCTACTCAGGGTCAAATGCTCGTGTTGCTAAGTTTCAAGAATCACTCTCTCTGATTGATGGTATTTGGGGTAAAACTTGTTCCATATGGGTCATGAAAGAGTATGGCATAGCAGATTCTTGGACAAAGCAATTCAATATTGATACTAGTGTAGGTTTCGAAAGTGTAGTTGGCTTCACAAGGAAAGGCGAAGTTCTGTTGGGGTTAAATTCTGGCTATCTGGTAGCTTATGATCCTGATACAGAACGAGTACTGCATCTTAATATTCGGGGAACTACAGATCGATGGTGTATGGACTCATTTTATGGAGATGCTTATACTAAGAGCCTAGTTTTATTAGGAGCAAAACTTCCTAATACAGGCGCCTGTGAGGAAGCTAAGAAATCCAAGAAAAGAAGAGCAAAACATTTGTATCCCAAAACATTTGTAATCTCTTGCATCCCAAAACATTTGTAATCTCTTGCTTATACTTATCAAAGAAAAGAGGAGCAAAAACAAAGAAGAAAGGAAAGAAGAGGCAAGATGCATGATTTTACTTACTTTTACATCTTATATTTGCTATTCGTATCCTAAGTTCTGTTATTGCTACATGTGAATGTAAGAGCTCAACCTAGCATTTTAAAAACCTCCATTTTATCCTTCCTAATAGGTAGCATAAACTTATTTATTATTATTAATTTTTTTTTGTCAAGTACTGTTTAATATTCATCTTTGAGGAGTTACAACTATAGTTGATCTTGATATATTTTTGTGCTTGATGTGCAATGAATGTTCTTTCAGGGCTGTGATCAGAGTGGGAAATCAAAATGTGGAAGCCAGAGAAGGTGGAGATCTGTTGAAAGAGTAAAAGTGGCCTAGTGAACTCTTTCCCTGTTTTTGGTACTATTACTTTGCCTATGGTTCATAAATTGTATATTGACGTAGCTCAAAACTTTATTTGGGAAATATATAACTCACTCATGATGCTTTTGAACTCAGATAATTTGGGCTTGATATGGCTTTAGATGTTATGTTGAAATTGTTATTTTTTTTTCCTTTTTCGACAAGGTTTATGATGGAAGTATTTGTTATTTGATGCCATTGTATCTTCTAAATTTTGTGTTGGGGTACGATCCACATTATATTATGAATTTATTGTCAAAACTACCTTATTTAGCTTGAGTTGCTGGATGCATGCCAAGCATTTAGAAGTCATTAGTTGGTGATATTTTGTAGGAAGTCATTGGTGGTTCTCCTTTTGGCTCGGATAATGCTAGTCAAGGTTAAGGTTGGCTTGTTTTGCTTGCTAGCCAATCTTAAGTTCAAACTTGAGCTCAATAAATGGGCCATGTTCACTAGCCTTAGCTTGTCTGCTCATGATTATCCGTTTATCAACATGTTCATTAGTTTAATGAGTCAAGCTTGGTTTATTCAAGTTTGGCTCGCTCGCTTAATTGGGTTGAACATGTTGATTAAATTATCCTGGTGTACTTTACTAATTAAAACAGATAGAGCTCTTATGTAGTTGAGCCTAAGTTGTACATGAATTGGTCAATGGTTTGTCCCTTACTTATAGGCCATGTGTGACATGATATTAAATTAATTAACTTGAATGATATTCCAAGTGCTGTTCACCCCTCATTATTCTGTTCAACCATTTACTTTTTGCCATCTCTTATTGTAGCTCTAGTTTTTACTTTGATCTTATACCCCATTGGAAGGAAAACGTTAGAGGGGGATCTAGCTCATGTAAGAAGTGCTAGAGAAATCTCTCTCTTATGAATAGCCCATGAATTTGTTCTCTTGGGGCAGGTTCTTTTTTATTGTGATGATTTGTATAATATTGTCTATTGGCTTCATAAAAATTTGTTTGATAATATCATTGAACCATCTCATTTTCACAAATAAAAATCAATTAGTGTACTAATTAAGTGATTTATGTGCTGTTATTAGAATTAATAATATCAGTGATATGATGTGTTTCTTGAGGGTGTTCTCAGGTGCTAGACCTTGTTTGATAGTAGAACCCATATGACTTCAAGTTTGATGATATTATGATATTAATGTATATACCTTGCCTATCTTCCAAGTCATAATTTCTAGTTTCAAGGACATGGTTATGAAAATGCACCTCCTGGGTTGCTAGCTTGCGAAGGCATACCCGCTGTGTGGAAACTAGACAATTCAATCTTATCCACTGTTGATTTATGAAATCCTATAGTTTGTTTTCTCTTCTTTCTTGCAGTCTATTCATCTACACGTGGCAAATTCTTTTTAAGTTTTATGCACTTACAAAGTAAAAATTCATGGGAACTATTGAGAGTCATGAATTGTGGCTCAGGTTGGATTACATTGATCAAGAGAAGAATTAAGAACATTTTGCTAACCACCTCAACTTTGTTTAAAACATATTTTTGTGAGCAAATTAGTTGTTAAGGGTCTATATGGGTGCTCTATTATTATGGAGCAGAATGGTGATATCAATTAAGCAGAAAATGAAGCCTAATTAGCATTAATATTCTTTTAAAAGACTGGTGGATCTGCCTGTGCCAAAATATGTTTGAGATGCTAATAACTAACAGCTTGAAGGTCCTGTTTAATTAAAATAAGAAGATTACTATATGTTGAAATAGTTCATAATGATACTGAACAAGAGAAACACCTTAAACTTATTTTTATTTCATAAACACATAAACACTAACTCAATTTAGTTTCATAAAATACGATTTTAAACAAAATAAAATTCTTAAAGCAGATTCTATAGCATCCAAGACTGGCGCATAAAAATCGGATGCGAAGTTGGACTATAACAAATACTTCCAAGTCAAGATGCACGACTTCACTTACTTCTATACCTTATATTTTCTAAGTTGTTTTATTGCTACATGTGAATGTAAAAGCTCAACCTAGCATTTAAGTGAATATATGTCATCACTGCCCTAGTAGGTTGCATAAGCTTAAATATTTTTGGTCAATTACAGTTTCATATTCATATTTTTGAGGAGTTAAGTCTATATATCTTTTTGTGCCTGATTTGCAATGAATGTTTTTTTTAGGGCTGTGATGAGGGTGGAAAATCAAAATGAGGAAGCCAGAGAAGGTAGAGAAATGTTGAAAGAGTAGAAATAGTAGCACAGTGAACTCTTTCCCTGTTTTTTTTGTTACTTTTACTTTGACTATGGTACATTAATTGTATGTTAATGTAGTTAAAAACTTTCTTTGGGCAATTTTTAAACTCACTCGTGATGCTTTTGAAATCTTGGAGCATTTGGGCTTGATGCGGCTTTAGATATTATGCTGAAGGTGTTTTTGATCATTTTTGGGTAAGATTTATGTTGAAAGTATTTGTTATCCATTATTATTGCTTATCTTTTGATGCCAATGTATCTTCTGTATTTTGTTTTGGGGCACTAGCCACATAATATTATATAAATTAATTTGTCAAGAGCAGCTTCTTTAGTTCGAGTTGTTAGATGAGCAGCTTCTTTAGTTCGAGTTGTTAGATGTTGTGCCAAGCATTAGAAGTGGAAATTTATTTTTGTGTGTGTGGACCTCAACTATGTTTAAAACATATTTTTGTGGTCAAATTAGTTGTTAAGGTTCTATTTGGGTGCTCTATTATTATGGTGACATCAATGAAGCCAAAAATGTAGTCTAATTAGCATTAATTCTCTTAAAAGACTCCCGATCTGTTTGTGCTACATGAAATTTGATATTTTTCTGATGTAGTTGTTGTGAACATTTATGTGTTTGTTTAGAATTGATTTATGTCTGTCAATTATGTGGGCCATGCTTCAGCAAGGCCACAAATATAATTCGACATACACAACAATAAATAGTTGAAATGAAGAATAGGGAAATACTCTACTGTCCATTTATTCCTTCATTTTTTCAAAACTAATATCATAATTACATGTAATGAATGTATTAAAGTTTCAAACAATGATTTTTCTGTTAATAATGTGAAATTTAAAATCTCGCAAGATTTGATTTGAAGATTTAGTGATTTTATTTTTTTATTTTTGGGGAGGGGTTTTTTACTGATCTCTATATTGTAACATATTATTTTTATTATGTAATTAACTATTAATGAATGTCACGATGAATTTTACTAGTTTCTTCTTTCTTCTAATTTTATTTATTTTCAAACTATATTTTGACTCTTGATTTGTGAAGGTAAGACTTGAACTGAATTAATTTTTTTTTTTTTTTCTAGATTTTTTTTTCGGAAGGTATTTTTTTTTTTTTGTTTTTTATAGATTTGTCTCAAATAAAACAAGCATAGTTTTATGTTCTCTTGACGACTTTAAAGTACATTTCTGATTTTGAATCTGGAGTTTTAACTTTGAGTGATTGAGTTGGTTAGTCTTAGTTTGATATAAAAAATGTAGGAATCTTATGCTGAGAAAATTTAACTCCGTGTTTGTTTACTGCACTGTTTCCTTCAAAATTTATGTTTTTTGGTTCTTCCTTGGAGTGCTAATTTAGCATATACATAGTGTGTTGCTTATTCTTTCTTTTTTATTTCTTTAGTGATCTGTATTCATTTTTCTGTTGGAATATAGCTTACCATCTCAAGCCTACTGCTTTTCACCTATGCTACCCGGACTCGGGTACGAGTGTTGGACATGGGTATGTGTCTAGAGGTCGGATCCATTTATGTATCAAATTATCTTCTTCACCAAAAACAAAAAATATGCTATAACTGCGTGTGAAGAAACCATCATCTTCAACTTTCCAAAAACCCTATCTTCGAACCAGCCGCCTCCACAAACTTACAGAACACATCAGTGCCTTTACGTTCTTCTCTCACAGCATGTCTTTTGGCTCTGGCTTCAGCTACTGCTCCCCAACAACAAAACTTCTTACCACATTTTTAGTCTAAGATGGACCAAGTTCCTCCTGCTCGCTCATGCTGACATTTCACATAGGACACAACCAGCAGCTGGGTTCTCGTGAACAACATCATGTCAGGATGATATCTTTCTCGTGCTTGCAATTTTACTTGATCTTCCTCTGTTTTGTTCTTCCCCGTAAACTAGAACTATATATAGATCACCAAAAATCTTGACAGGAACAAAACCCATCCTTGAAATGGTGAAACCTTAAAGAATTCTAACTATAAACTCCACATCATCAACAATCTTGGCCATGAGCCTAATTGCATTATGACAATCCCCACATGGACTTGTTGGATTCTAAATGTTTTTGTTGTTTAAACTAAAGTTGCCTAATGTAGTACATTAATCTTTTTCCTTGTTTTTTGCTAGGCATGGAAATCGGAGAGGGCAGCAAGATAGGGAAGTCAACAAGATATTGTTCACGAGAAAATTTGGAATTGCATTGGTGAAAAAAAGGGAATTCACTGTATGTGTTCGGTAGTGAGATTGGAATATTATAACATTACAATTCCAATACAATTTTAATCCAATTCTAATTCTGCACAACCAAACACGGCCTGAATGATATTCTAAGAGTAGTGCTATTCACTTCTCATTATTTTGTTCTTCCTCTTGACTTGATGGCATGAGACTATAACACAATGTATGGCTTTCATGCCACTTATTAAGGTGTTTAAGTTTCATCTAGACTCTTCCGTATTACACAATGTATTATGTTATTCCAATTCTCACCTTCCACATCCGGAAGTAAATGAGATACTATTAGACACTTTTGCTGGGTGTCCGGAGAGGGGAACCACTGGTCTCCCTAAAAATTGTTATTTTGTAAATACATCCCACTTGTGATCCCACAACTCATAATATATATATATATATATATATATATATATATATATATATATATATATTCAATTAACCTCCCAAATTTATTTGTTTATTTATTTTTTCTTTCTTAAGAATTATTTGTTGACCTCAATTATATTAAGTTCGAAAATAACTAAAACTTTATATTCTTCTGAATTTCATAAAATTTTAATTAAATCTGTTTAACTTTACTTCTGAAGTCCAAATCATCAAAAACAAAAATGTATATTCATTATTTTGGTAGTTCCTTTAACATGTTATTACCACATTTACATTTACAAATATGTACACATTTATAATATCAATTATACAAGTTTTAACATATAGGTACATGAACCTTTATTGACAGACATTTTTTGAGCGGGAACGAGAAATAAGTGATGCACCATCCTTGGTCTTAGATGCTGTTAACGAAGAGAACATCTAAAATTATATACTCATCTCCGTGGGCGAATCCTTAAAGAATCAGAAGAAGGAAAACTAGAGTTTTGTGATACTTAGAAAGCAAAAATACTATTAACATCAATTATAATATTTTTAGTTGTCACTTGTTAAATGACAAATTCTATATTTATTTATTTATTTATTTTTTGTATTTCTCTATCTTGTTCCTAATAATTGTATTTTACTAAAACTTTCAAAATTTTGTTTATTTAAAATGGTACAAAATTATTATTGTTGTTGTTTCATCAAGATAAATATATCATTCTCATAGTGGAATAATCAAAGTAATCATTATATATATATATAAGAAAATAATAATTGAAACAATTGGGCGATATATATATATATATATATATATATATATATATATATATATATATATATATTTTACCACTTCTCACTTCACATGTACCTGATTGTTTTATTTGCTATCTTTTTCTTTCTTATATCAAATTTTCATCTATATTTATTTAGGTTTCATTTTTCTCATATTTTTATTATATTTTTCTCAATATATACACTAAAGGCTAAATTTTAAAAAATATTTTTATATTACAATTCATTTCTCAAAATTGCTTAGTTGTCGTCCCCCACGAAATTCAAAAAACTTGGCTCCGCTTTTGGTGGTATTTTTAGTTACTTAATAATATTGTATTATGAGTTTAAATAATAATTAATCTAATTTAAATTCAATCAAAAAATTCGTGTAAAATACACTATTTTAGTGTCCAAAAAAAATTTCTTTAAAAAAATCCATCAAATGTACTCTTTATTATTATTATTATTCAAATTTGATTTCTAATTTTGTGAGAGTAGATACGGTTTAGCAAGAGTATATCTAATTCGTAAAAATTTAAGATTAGTGATTTAAGATTTAAATGAACATAAATTGAACTTTTAGTTAGGTTTTAGAAATATTTTTAGGTTTTAAATATATATATATATTTTTAATTTTTTTCAAAAGTAGGATTGGTCCTAAAAAGTACGTAATATCTAATTCACTTACTAGGAACTAATTTAGTAAAGTGGAGAGAAATACTTGCTCTCTCTGAAGTAGTTATTAGGGTTTCGTTTGTTCAAATGATGTGTTCATCGACGTCCTCACCTGGCTACCGATCAAAAACCTCATCCAGTGCGCTTGTGTCTGCAAATCATGGTACTCTTTCCTCACAAGCCCTAATTTTATCAACACACACCTCAATCGATCATCCATTGTGAACAACAACCTTTTACTAGTTCGAAGCCGCTCTGTTGATGATGCCAACGTAGTGCATTACTCGCTACTACGTTCTGAAAACGGAGTGTTCTCTGATTATGCAGAGCTTGGGCTTCCATTGAAGAGCCACAGAAACCCTCGTTTGAGTATAAAAGGTATCTGCAATGGGCTCGTATGCCTTTCTGATGATTTGCACAATTATCAGGAGGAGCTTTATCTATGGAATCCATCGATTCAGAACACAATAACGCTTCCTCCATTGCGTGTGACCTATCAATCACACGGTTCTTATATGCATAGCATTGGGTTCGGCTTCGATGCCCTGACTGATGACTACAAGGTTGTCAGAATTGTGTATCTCTATGTACCCAATGAATTTGGGCCTCCTCCTGAGATTGACATTTTCAGTCTGAGCACAGGCACATGGCGGAACATCAGCCATTTAGGTCTTTCACATATCATCGGCGAGCGTGCTCCACAGGCTTATCTGAACGGGACTGCACATTGGCTTGCTTTTGATAGGGGGATCGATTTCTTCAACTTGATCGTGTCATTCCACATGGGTGATGAGGTATTTGGGGAGATAATGGTGCCAAGTAGCATTGCTCATGACAAATGGGAGATGGACAATCTTCGTGTTGCTAAGTTTCGAGAATCACTCTCTCTGATTGTTGGTATTTGGGGCAAAGGTGCTTGTTGCATATGGGTGATGAAGGAGTATGGCGTATCAGAGTCATGGACTAAACAATTCGATATTGATATGACTGGAGGATTATTCAATAATGTAGCTGGTGAAATTCTATTTGGGAAAAAAGATGGGTATCTGGTAGCTTATTATCCTCAAGCAGAACAAGTAATGCAACTTCATATTCGTGGATCTAGAGATGAAAGCTCTGGCGACTCATTTTATGCAGATGCTTATACAGAGAGCCTAGTTTTACTTGGAGCAAAACCAAAGAAGAAAGGAAAGAAGAGGCAAGATGGATGATTTTACTTACTTTTACATCTTATATTTGCTATTGCTATTGCTATATGTGAATGTAAAAGCACAACCTAGCGTTTAAATAACCTCTATTTTCCCATTGCCCGAATAGGTAGCATAAACTTTAAAATTTTGTCAATTACGGTTTTAAATTCATCTTCGAGGAGTTAACAATTAATTTTTATTTTTATATCTTTGTGTGCCTGATGTGCAAGGAATGTTCTTTCAGGGCTGTGATCAACGTGGGAAATCAAAATGTGGAAGCCAGTGGAGAACTTTTGAAAGAGTAGAAGTGGCATAGTGAACTCTTCCCCTGGTTTTTTGGTTACTTTTACTTTGCCTACATAAATTGTATATTTATGTGGTTAAAAACTTTATTTCGGCAATATTTGACTCACTCGTGATGCTTTTGAACTTTTGCAGCATTTGAGCTTGATTGTCTTTAGATGTTATGCTGAAACTATTTGTTATCTGTATTGCTTATTTTTTAATGCCATTGTATCTTCTATATTTTGTTTTGCGGTACAAGCCACATTATATCATATGAATTAAGTTGTCAGGAGCACCTTCTTTTTGTTGAGTCGCTGGATGTCATGTCAAGCATTTAAGTCACTAGTTGGCGATATTTTGTTGGAATCATAGCTAGTTTTTCTTTTGGCTTGGATAATGCTAGACACGGTTAAGGTTGGTTTGTTTCGCTGGCTAGCCAATCTTGATTTCGAACTTGAGCTCAAGTTCATTGCTGAAGGGCCTAACATGAATGTGGCTTTTGTTACGAAGGAGAATGAACTTCTGATGCCCTATTTTGATAAAAATCTTAGTGGTGTACAGGTAGGAGATTTTTTATTCTTGCAGAGGGCCTAGGAAGGAGGGGAAGCTTCGGGGAATAAGAGTAGGAAATGTAACTGTTGATGAAGGAAAGATGATAGCCTATTTGCAAAATTCTGGTGGTAAAACTTGGGCTATAGTAGAATTTGGCTATACACCTCCTACAGTTGATACAACTGTGGATGGTAAAATAGTCAAAGCGTTAAAAGATACTTTTGATTTTACTGCTATTGAAACTGAGCGAAATGATGTTAATGGCAAAGCTTTATATTCAATTATTAATTCTGTTGTTCCATCTGAATAAGCTAGAATTTTGGATTGTAAAACTGCTAAAGAAGCTTGGGGTATTTTGCAGGTTACTCATGAAGGAACTTCGAAAGTGAAGTTGTCCAAAATTCAGTTGCTCTCTCATAAATTTGACAACATTGTGATGAAAGAGGATGAATTCTTTTCTGATTTATATTCTAGTCTTCTTGAAATAATTTCTGAATTATGTCACTTAGGGAAAAAAATTAGTGATAAAAAAATCTGTTAGAAAATCTTAAGGCCTTTACCTAAAAGATTCCAGATTAGTGTTGAAACCATCTCTGAACATTGGGGTTTGACTACCTGTCATGTTAATGAGATGATAGGTTCATTAAAAACTTTTGAGATGCATAATTTTGATTTAAGTCAGAAAGAAAAAAATCTTGCTTTAAAATCTACATAGGTTGAGCATTCTGTGACTGATGACTCTGAGGATGATATTGCATTCTTGTCAAGGCAATTCAATCAGATTTTGCAAAGGCAACAGAAGAGAATGAATAACAACTGGGTTAATCCTCAAAACTTTGACAAGACGTCAAAGTTTAGGTTTAATGATAAGAAAGTAGAAGAATCAAAAGAAAATGAATTTATTTGCTGGAATTGTGGTGGCAAAGGTTACACATCCAATGTTTGTCCTAGTCATATGAAAGAACAGAAAGATAGGAATAAAGGAAAAGTAATGAAAGTTTCTATGACTGAAAATTCTACTTTGAGTGATAGTGACTCCTCCGGATGATCCTAATGATTTTTCTTATGTTGCTTTTCTTGATAAAGGTCCTCATGTCGTTAATTTATCTAACTCTGATATTTCAGATAATGAAGACAATGAGTTTCATGATGAACATGTGCAAGAGGCTGAAAAATGATGATGAAAAGTTGAAGAAGATGGTCAAAGAAACCATTGAGACCAAATAGGCAATCACTAAGCTAGCAAATGAGCTTATCCAAGCAAAAGGAGATAATAAAGATCTAAAGAAACAGATAAATGAAGGCAAAAGGAAAGCTTTTGAAAGCAATGCTGTTATCACTGAGCTTGAGAAACAGATCATTATTCTTGAGGATATGGTAAGTATTGCTAACTCATTGAAGGAATGTTTTGCTTTGAAGAATGATTATCTTGAAATTGAATTGAATTTGAAAAAGAAAAACTGAAAAGGTTCAATATGAGTCAAAACAGTTTGAATAAGATAATCAACATAGGCAAGGATGTGAATGATAAAATAGGGTTAGGATTTGTTAAAGGTTCTTCTAGTAATCAAGGTAAAACAAATTTTGTCAAACCTTTTATTATGCCTAAACCATGTTTATCTGATGCATCACATTTTGATATGTCTTATGTGCCTAAATTGTTGCATTGCACTTTTTGTGGAAAAAATGGACATAAGTACACCTCATATCTTCATAGGAAAAAGAAAGTCTTTTCTAAAATTCATTCTAAAAATTCTCATGGTAAGAAAAAAATGCAGTCTAGGAAGAAAAAGAATGAAGTGTCTCCTAAGATTTCTAAAGCTAGAAATGTGCCTAAGAGAGAGGTGAAGAAAGAAAAAGATTTTCAGGATATAAGAGTGAGAACTGTTAAGATCAATAAGTTTGATTTGATTCATTATGTGCCTGTTGAGTCCATGGAACAAGTTTCCAAAAGGACTTCACCTTCAAACTGAGTCCTATGAATTTTAGTGATCATGGCTTGTACTTTAAAAGAAATTTTGTTGCCATTGGATCATTTGTTAGGGGTTGGTTAGGGTTTTGAGTTTCTGATCATAGTCTTTATGATAAATTTGAGAAAATTCTTTCATTGAATTTATGATCTATCTTTGAATGCAAAATTGGACACATGATTGTTTATTAAAAATAGATTATTGGCTTGTAATCTATACAGTGAAAGTTCATTTGCATTGATTAAAGGATGCTTAGATTTGAATCTTTTAAGTTCATAAACTTTTGTGCACTAGTCCAAATATGAAAAATTTGATTGAAAAGTATATTGATCATAAAAGTTATAAAGGTTATTGTCTAAAAAAAAAAAAAAAGAAACTACTAGGAGCTTAAAAAAATTGAAAAACAAATCAGCTTGAAAAAGAAAAAGAAAAAATGTTGAATTCTTTGTTTAGGAAAATGCTACCTACTTGGTCCATTTCTTGGAGGGTTTTGAAACCCTAACTTCCGTCTCGCTTCCGTTGAGTCATGGGACTCCTCGGAAGGCCACTTTGACGTCCTAAGGACGATGTATGTCTCTAGAGACCTTGTTCTCATTTCGCTTCCGTATTTCGGATCTGTTTTCGGGTCAACTTTTGGGTTATCACAGACGTACCGGGTTTGTAAAACTTAGGCCATCATATAAGTATTTTAGCAAATGAATATTGTGAATATAAAATAAGCAAACATGATTTTGGTAATATAATAATATGCATAAGCAAATAAAGTTTTTCTAATACATATTTTTTAATAGAAGTGAGACAGATATATTATATATTACCTTTATCTTGTTACGGAAAATATTTTCAATAACGAAGGATTGATGGTCTTACCATCCACAAGACATATATCTTTACCTTGAGTTAATGTAATTTTATGCAGGTCCTTGCCTGCAAACTTCGTCTTATAATAATAATAATAATAAAACCTTGATATAAAAAAAAGAAAAGGCACGCTTCATAAAGTAGATGATAAAAGAAAGTATAAATAAGGAAGTATAAATAAGCAATGTGCATATTACTAATCAAAGAATAGTTTACCTCATAAAAGTTGAAATATCCACAAGCATCATATAAAATTCATTTCTATCTTTATTCCCTTTTGTGACTTGAAAAAGATTAATTAAAAGCTTGGAAGCATACGGTAAGAATCCGATAAATACTTACAAGCAGATTGTGCAACATTTTTCTTTTCGATGTTACATTGATAATAAGTAATTTCACGTTGATCAAATTTTCATCGAAACACTGATCAATTTCGCATTGATAACAAGCAACACGTGCCATAAGGGTTGAGGCTAATTCTCCCCCTTTGCTTGTTTAATATTATTTTGGTCCCACCTTTAGGCGTACAATGTGAAATTATAGTAATAACCTCCATAGTGTTGACAGTTAATTCTACCAAGACTATACCCACGACCATGCTTATGATCGTCAAATAAGCAGATTTCACTTTCAAAATCGTTTCGATCTAGTGGGACTGATAATATCATAATAAAAGCTCATAATTTTACTCTGCCATAATTTGACCTGATATCAGCTGTACATAAATCCACGCATTCAACGTGATCAGTGGAGTATCACTTTGTCAATATATGACCTTTAGTAATATTTTGTCCACATCAAATATTTCATAAATCTACGCCCTCGGCGTGATAAGTGATATTCTTTTCACATATACTCATGAGTAATTATTTCTCTACATCATCTCAATGTAGCTGATTATAAATAAGGCCAAATTATATTCGTCAATAATTTCATAATTCTGCAACCATAATTGCATCGATTCATATTGAGCTTTTTAGAAGGATCACAATACTATGTGACTGTTTTTTTTTTTTTTTTTTTTTTTTTTTTTAACCATAAACTAAGTGGGTCCTTCATCGTGAGATATTCAATTTTCAAGTTATCCTAAATTGAATGCAGTCCCAAAGAGCTTGAATTTAATCTCAATATCCATAAAATGGATCTCATAGAAAATAATTGTGCCCAGGCAACATAATCAAGCTTTTATCACGTGTGACATATATCAAGATATAAACCATAATATTAAGAATGAAGTACCATGATCACTATGGTGTTTATAACAATTTAATTAAAAGATTAGGTATAATAAAATTCCAAAGGTAATCATAAAATTAATTTTGTACTTTATTTGATTCTCGTTTAAGTCTTAGTTGGTTAGAGACTCATGCTGATAACGTATTGTGAATCTAAAAAAAAATGTAGAACATAAAATTATATCTATAATATAGAGAGAAGAATATATAGAGGGGAGCTAGAGAGATCTTATTTTTTTCTCTTAAATCCAAATACATACATATAGTAATGAATAATCCGTATTTATAATCAAACTTTACATTAATCAACATCCTTAATGCACCATTAATAAGTGCATTTACCACTTACGTAGAGCACACACATCACATCCTAACTTACTAGTGACATAATGCACACACATTCACATCCCAATGCATATGGTCCCCATATGATAGATACATAACACTAGTGAATTTTTAAAGTTATAAATAATGATTTTTAAGCCTAAGTTTTCAAATCAAGGCTTCGACCTACCATTAATTAATTGTGGCGTGGGCAAGTGCAGTGGATCCACAATAAGCCTATGGTTGGAAGAGGAAATAAATTTTTTACTGAAAAAAGTTGGAAAGATACAAGTAAAGT